TTCGGACGAGCAAGGGAGCAATCGAAGTGCGCGTACCGGCCAGTACTAAATCCGTTGGTGAGCGGCATCTCTATTTTTAAATAAACAGTGCTTTTCGCTGACCCATGATGCACAGGCCAGCCTCAAAGCATGAAAAGATCCCGTAGGGACTGCTCGCACACACACGCACACAAACTCACTGGATAGACTTGTGCATGCGATCTGGTAACGAACTTTCAATCAAATGATTCACTCGTGGCTGTACATAGCTCCAAGCACCCATGTTTTTGTGCTCCTCTTGAACCCATTGTAGTTTCGCATCCGGGTAGCGTTCCAATTCCGCCTTGACCAAATCGTACGGGAACGGGGTGCGTTGTTCAATCCAAGGGTCTGTCGTTCCTTCACCAAATCGTAGTAAATCTGGGTGGGTGGGTGGTGCAACAAATAGCCCAAGTCAGGTTACAATAGCAAAATTATCAAGTTAAGGTACCAGTGGATTGTTTACTACCAAAAAGGTTCAAAAGCTATTTTCGGTGGGGCGTAAAACATCGAGCCTGCATAAACACTCTCATCCTCGACACACAAAAAAAAACTGTACCAAACCATTTGACTGGGTTCCAAATATCGAACAAAAACGCAGACGAAATCCGTGTAGATCGATGCTTTTTTGTGCTGGACAGTTTGATCCACCAAGCTGAACAATCCAAGCCTCAGTTGATAGGTGTGACCTCAAACAACAGGATGATGCTCGGGGTTTTTGGTGAATATGATCAATAATCGACAGTTGTTTGCTGCTTTTACGGAGTGAGATACGATGAAAAAAACATCAGCGTGAGATTATCCATACGCCGAATGTTCAACTAAGCCATGGTTACGAAATCGGTAGAATCGCCCGCGAAAATACTCTTGCACAAGTACTTATAGGATGTCCTTGACCGACACACAAAAACAAGTAGGGCATGAAAACGTGTGACTTCCAATCGTACCATTTAACCATAGATAACAATGGATTTGATGCGAACCGGCTACTGTGCGCATACATCTATGTTTAATGTACCGGTCACACGACCCCCAAATAACTGCAAAAAGTGGCCTGTTTACTTCATTCGTTTCAAACACTCGAGACGAGCGGATTTGGCGTGCAACTAAATTTAAATCAGGTTAAAATAAACCAACTGTTTCTCGTGGTTATTTAGATTTCGTTCTAGCTTTCGTACATGGTTTTCAGTGATCGTTCGCTTATGTGTTACCTTTGTACTCCATCTGTTTAGCTAACGACACAGAAAACACTCCAGTAGCCAGCAGAAAGTCACGAAGTGATATTTTCAAAGTGGACAGTACAATCAGAACTTGTGTCATGTCGAAACTACAGATATTCAGTCTAATCGCACATGCAGTGTTCGAATAAGACTGTGGATGTAAAGCGATTCTGCTCGCCTCAGGACCAAAAGCCCTTGAGCTACTTCAATTGACAACCGTATAATGTCAGTGGCATTCTACACGTCATGGTTACATTGGACCCCCATAATGCGCGTATACATTCACGTGAGTTCAATACAAAAACTGAATATGTGTAGCAAACGTTGTCGTCCGGCAAGTTCAAGTTCCGAAACAATTGGAGTTCGCGCGATCAGCGCTTGTTTTTGCACGCCATGAACCATGAACTGATCTGCAGTCTCGAATAAACAATTCCCAATAATCAAGCACACAAGCCAAAAGAAGTAAACAACACAATCACAAGAAACTACTGTCACGCACACACTCTCAAGTACTGTGTGTGTGTGTGTGTGTGTGTGTATGTGGACATATGCGGAAGTAGGCAAGCTCGAGTGGAGAACAGAACAGAAAGGGCACCACAATGGGTGTGGCTATTGCATCGGGCGACACCGGAGCTGTCTACGAACAAGGTGTGGTTTCAAATTAGAACCGTACCGAATCGTTAATGCCGAGAAACTTCGATGGATGTTCTTTACAAATTTTTCGGGTTTGTTTGATAAAGTCAGAGATTGCCGTGAATTACGGAGCATTGTGAAGTAATCACATATCGCATCAAATGAAATTTATAATTACTATTATCAACAGAAACCAGGGCCAGACGAGGACTATGTGAATGATGACAGGGACGTTTCGCTCGTAACAAGTCTTTTCAAAGGACGGCGATGATGGGAGGTGGTGCACAGGAATGCTTTCACACCCCAACTGAATCCCACATCCCTGCACCAGAATCGACGATTCACCACTATATGAAATTTAGTTGACCGGTGTGGACAATAGTATTCTAGCTTAGGTTATTTTGTATATAACTACACAAGTAAGCGCATACGTCTCCCGGAAGTAATCCATACAGTTAAATTCAAGTATAGTTGAGTCCGACAGAAAAAGCGAAACAATCACCAGTCGAGCAATNAGGTGAACAAAAACATAAACATATCGGTGATGTATGAGAAAGCATAAAAAAATAGTCTTGAACAGTGCTAATATGGTACAGGACTAGCTTTAAAACTTATACTTCACTTTGTATCCAAAACCCCTATCTTTTTCTTCCCTACCCAACCCTATCACTTTACTCTTTCTTCCGACCCGTGATATACCCTCAAACAACTTGGTCGTCACTCGCCAAAGGTCTTTGCCAAATAGCAC